CCTGCCTCTCCAAGTAGAGAGCCATCTCCTGACATCCGACATGAGCCTCAATGCTGACCGCGGTTTAGGGTTTAGGGTTTAGGGTTTAGGGCCTCCCCTTTCTACCGAGGCTCTACTGTGAGGATAAGTTTAGTAATCACGTCGGACTTCACATTTTCTCTTCGCAATTAGTGAGGCAGCGTTCAAGCGTGTTTGGTTGATGGCATTCAGCAGCTAGGCTGTTGAGATTTGAGAATGTTTAGGTTTGTGGGTCTTGGTTTTAGGCCTGTCAGAGAAATCTGAATCTTACCCAAGGCATTTGAGAGGTGCTCCAGGGGCCATAATCATTGCCAATACCAATACTCTGTTGAGGGGTCCTTATCATGATTACAGTATCATGGGCCCCAAAACCCTATTCTAATTATTCAGGCCCCTATATTAGAGGCAGTCAGCAGCTGTCAGTTCAAGCAGCTTTTTGGATTGCGGTTCTGTTCAGGGTTCGGGCAGCTACAGGGGCTTTGCAGGGGCCTTCAAAATTCGAACAGGGTTCCGGGCTCGTTTATGGTAAGGAACCCTAAGGAATGATGTTAGTATTAGAAGCTGCCGCTGCCCCGCCTTGTAATAGTGACTTTTAGGATTTTATTAGGGCCTTATTATATACCTATTATAGCACTATTCCAGGGTCGGGGCCCCCTTCTAATGGTAGTATTAATTTTGGCTTCTATGTTATTACACCCTAAACCCCGAGCGTGTCGTTCGGTACAAGGGGATGGTACAGCTTTCAGCCCTCAAGCTTACGGTTTCGACCCTGAAGCCACGCAGAATTTTAGCAGGGGCTTTGTTATGGGGCCCATGTATGTAAAGGTTCGATTTATATAGGGGTTTTTCCATGTTCCCGTAAACCCGAGCCGTCGGCTTCAGGAACTTACCGCCTCTCACAGAGCAGCCCAACCCATACAGGGGCTTAAAGGTCAGTTCTGAGATTAGCCAAAGTGCCACCAGGCTCGTTCGACTCGCTTCTCTGACCGACAGATGTCCGTGAATACAGGGGCTTAAATAATTACCAATACTATTTTTGGGGGCTCCTTATTGCAATTATACTATGATATACCCCACCGCCACCACCCTGTTCTAGTCATTCAGGCCCCTATAATAGCCTAGGCGTGCTCTGCTGCTGAGGCTCTGTCGCCTTCTTGCCGGACCTGGGTTGCAATGAGACCATGGTCCACATCGGTCCCTGGGATCCATCATCCGCAAGTTTTAACTCCAAAGTTTAGGGATGCAGTGGGGCCTATGTAGGGGGTATACCATCATCTGCAAGTTTGGGATCCAAAGTTTAGGTATGCAGTAGGGCTCATGAGAGAGGGTATGTCTTCGTTGGCCGGCGAGCCTTTGGCATTTTCGATTCTATACCCTGCCTCAGAAGAGTCTTTTCTTGTCCGCTGTTGTGATAACTGGCGGCATGACCGGGACCATCCTGCCTGAAGCAGCCTTTAGGGTGTAAGGTGTAGGGTTCAGGGTTTAGGGTTTAGGCTTAGTAAGTTTCTTGTCGTTCTGCATTTATTGCTAAACCTGAACTGCTCTTGTTCTGACCTTAATTCCCAAGTCCGCAGCAGCCCTACATCAAAACGTGGCCTCTGTTCTTACCCTCTCTCCAAGGCCCCAAATTTTAACCCTGAACGGAAACACTGGGTTCTTGTTAAGGGAGCTACAGAAAATATACCAGGGTTCCTTATTATGGTAACTTAAGTTATGTCCCTTGACATGATTCCTGAACCCCTGAACCCTAACCTCAAAACCCTAACCCTGAGCTCTAAACCTCTTTCTGGAGTCGCAGACTGCAGCCTTTGGGAAAAGGTTGTTATAAAATAACATTTGCGTTTAAAAAAACAGCTCAAAAAGCCGAAAGGTGCCTGCCTTTTCATCCTCGGGAGCTTCATCTTCTGCTTGGCGTCCATGACGAACATCTACCGCACCAGCCATGTACTTTCGAACCCGGCCGCTCGGGCTCGCGATTTGGGGCCTTAGGGTTTAGAATTTGAGAGTTTTAGGGAACTAGGGTGTTAGGGTTGAGTTTGGGTCTACTGCAGACTCGAGTGACTAGAGCTGGGGTGGAGCGCTGAGAGTTTAGGCTTTAGCGTCACAGGTTTTGGTGGGGGTTACTGTCTGACCCTCTACTGGAGCCGCAAAAGAAGGGATTGTACTGTGCTTCGCAGCATACAACTTGAGAGGTCAGCACCTTGTGTCTACGGGTCAGGTTTTGATAGACGTTTGAAGAAACCCTAATCATTAAGTACCCACCTAAAGCCGCCTGCGACCCTCCCACGAGAACTGACGCCCGAGCAAGAAACGACAACAACGACGGCGATGCAGAGACACCAACATGATATGTGTGCGGGCTGTCATGGGTAGTGGGGGAAGAACAAAGGACATTGGTTGAAAGGCCACGGGATGCTCCGTATGGGTTTTCACAGGCTCGAAATACCAAAACCCCCCAAGCCTGAAGCCCTAAACCACTGGACCCTAAATCCTGAACCCAAACCCTGACGATTTATCCCTAAACCACTGAACCATAAATCCTGAACCCAAACCCTGACGATTGATCCCTAAACCACTGAACCCTAAATCCTGAACCCACACCCTGACGATTGATCCCCAAATCTAGAAGGGCCTTGGACCGGAGGCGGTTGGACATGGAGCATCCTTGAAGAGCTCGACCTATCGAACTCTAGACCCTAATCCCCACAACCCTCCTAGTAGTAGTAGTAGTAGTAGTAGTAGTAGTAGTAGTAGTAGTAGTAGTAGTAGTAGTGGTAGTAGTGGTAGTAGTGGTAGTGCTAGTGCTAGTGCTAGTGCTAGTGCTAGTGATAGTGCTAGTGCTAGTGCTAGTGGTGGTGGTAGTGGCAGTGGTAGTGGTAGTGGTAGTGGTAGTAGAGTAGGCAACTTTAACCAAAAAGGTTAACCTTTAGTTCCCCATGATACCCGACAAGTAGGCCCTAAACTGGCCCTAAACCCTACATCCTGCTTGTTTGCCAAGTAGGAGGGAAAAACATCCTGCTTGCTTGAGTTGGATCCCGACATCTTTCAACTCCCACACCATGCCCTGACTAGGCCCCAAATGTCCATGTCTCAACCCTACACCCTACCCTCTAACGATTAAGGTCTAAGTCTAAACCCCAAGCCATAGCCTCCGAAAGCAGAAAGCATGACAGTCTCAAGTGAAACCTGGTCTTCTACTCCCACGGCCCTTGCAGCCAGCATTGAAATGCCTAACAGCCCTGAGAGGCCAATATTTAATGCCATGATAGCTGATGAATTAAGTTATAGATTATAGATCTCCATAGAAACATGTACACGCACAGACGAAAACCCCAAACTCGAATAGACCCTGAAAGCTCAACCTTAGGAGAACCAGCTGCTTCGACCCTCCTCGGGCTCACCTCTGACGACAGAGAAGCTGCCCGACACGGACGCCTGACGCCGCAGCGGAAGCTCTACACTTGGTATAGCTTCGGGAAAGTTTGGGTGTGAGCACGGCTCCGGGGATTATGATGGCAGTCCGTAGTGGTCAGAATTGAGGTTTAGGGCTTCGGGCGTCACAGCTGTAGTTTCAGCGTAGCTGTTAGTTTACTCTCCGGCTGACGGAGAAGGCATGGCTTCTCAGCTCGGTGACGCGCATGTTATGCCATTCCGCGTGCTAGAAAAATTCGTGAGGCATTCGCTGGTGTTCTTTCGATGGGTCTGGGGCTTAGGGTTGTTGGAACAGCTTGATGAAAAGTGTCATCGTGAATGCCAGTTACCATAATTAACGGTAATCGCTTCAATCATCCAGCCTTAAACCGTGAAAGCAACAGGCCACAAGAACCCCAATCAAAACCTAAACCTTCTAAAGCATACGCCTCTAAGCACTGTATGGGACCATAGAACTCTTTTTACAGCTGAAAAGTGTGAACTTTCTTGGCATATGCCGCATGGGCGACAAACTGAAACCCATTCCGGATGTTAATGTTTAGAATTGAGGCTTAAGTTCAGGCTGGAAGGATGTTAGCATATGTTAGTGTAGTCTTTAGGGCTTAGTCTGCAGCGTAGTTGAGGGCGTGCGTTTCTCACTTGAAGGATTACGTGGTGCCACTCTGAATGGGTTCAGTGTTTTCCGGTCTTAGTGCTCGTATGTACATACAAAAATATCAACACATACACATACTTGGACCTTTCAAGGGGTTCCTATTCAGGTGAGTCAGCGCCGCAGTGCATACTGTACTCTGCTGGTGCATGCAGCCTTCGGCATTGCTCTTGAGCTACAAATTGCCCCAGCGGGAACACCCCAAGACCCCAAATCCTACACCCAATTTTTTTTGGGGGTTAGGGACGTTTAGGGTTTAGGGAAAGGTACCCCTAATTTTCGGAAACTAGCTCAAACCAGGACTCAGGATAGGGCTTCGGGTGCAGGATTTTAGGCTCGGTTCGACTGTGAATTTGGCGGAATTGAACGGTGAGAGTGTTTCAGGACCCAAGTCTTTTGACGGTACCCTCTCAACCGAAACCTCATCCCTGGTCGCAAACTCTGTGTTGTGCACAAAGCGTGGCGAGTTTCAGAATTCAGCTGCTTGCAACAGGAACTCTGGAGTGTGAACAAGTTTTGTGGATGATATGCAGGAAGTCAACTGCGGGAGCGTTGCATTTCAGACGTTCCTCTTATGATCCGACACATCACAGAGCTCTGCATGATTGTGCTACGACAGATGGGGAGTTCTTTGAGCTTGCAACTAGGACTCCCGAACCTGAAGTCGGAAGCTAATGTCGGGGCCCAAATAATCACCAATACTATTTTGGGGTGTTCCTTATTATGATTAGAGTATAATGTATCCCAAACCCTCTTCTAATTCTTGAGGCCCCTACATTACAAGGGCTGAACTCCTTATTATGATTATCGTATGATATACCCCCCAAACCCTCTTCTAATTATTAAGGCCCCTACATTACAAGCCCTAAATCCTAAAGCCGAACCTCCGCTTCTGGAGGAGCGATGCTTTCGACAGGGCCGGCTGTTGCCTGTAAACTACCTCCTCCCCTTGATGAGAAGGCTGTTGGGTACGGGGTTTAGGGTTTAGGGTACGGGTGGGGTTCAGGTTGTGGGGACTACAGGATTCAAGTTGCGTCCAGGGACCCAGGATTCTGAACATAACCCGAGACGAGTTTTTTTGCTACTGGACTCAAGACTAGCCAGACCAGACTTGAGGCCAGTCAGAAAACACGTCCCTGCAGCTGTTTCGTCCATTCCTGGTTTCGTAGACCGAAGCGCTCAGATACTTCATGGTTCATTCCAGGGCCAAAAAGGTTTTGGGATTAAAGTGAGGTATACGGTACCGGAGACCCAAAAAGCGCGGCTGCGGGAAGCTTGTCGGCTGGGCTTGGGGTTGTGGATTTCGGCATCGGGGTTCAAGGTTTCGAGTTTAGGGTGCTTGATTTCTTGGGTTTTGAATATTATTATTATTACTATTTGTAATAATACAATGTGCCACGGGCTTCAACCGCTGGGAGCATTCTGTAAGTTCGCCTTCTGCAAGGTCTTGGGCATGTGCAGTTTCGGGGTTTGTCTTAAGGGCTAGGGCCCAGCCTAGCCCCCTCCCAAAACAACCCTACCTAATGAAGGGTTTGTATAGTGAAGTCAGAACGGCGAGGAATCCTCGAAAGATAGGTATTACCCTAAGGCCCCAAAGTAGTTCCTTTTGGGGGTTCATATCTAGAATCCTATAAGGTAATCCCAAACTTGGAAGGGCAGGGGACTTCGTAAGTAGGTTATAAGTAGAGTTATAAGTACCCTAAATGGAGTTACCCCAATTATAACCCTACTTATAACCTACTTACTAGGTCCCCTGCCCTTCCAAGTAGACCCTAAACCCCCTAGATCCCCTTTAAGGAACCTTATAGATCCCTTTAAGGAGCCCTTTAAGAGCCCTTACTAAGGCCCCTGCCCTTCCAAGAAAAGGAACTACTTTGGGGCCTACTTGGAGGATCATTGGACTTAGTAAGTAGGGTTATAAGTACCTTGATTGGGCTTATAAGTAGTTATAAGTATAGTTACCCTAATTATAACCCTAGTTACTAAGTCCCATGATCCTTTAAGTATGGGCAGGGTTGCTGACGGCTGAGGCTTTCAGGCAGTTGCACGGCCGATGTCCTTTTCAAAGAGGAAAAGGAGGGACCCTTTAAAGGGATCTATAGGGATTCTATAAGGGTATAGGGTTTAGGGGTTTTGGGGGTTTAGGGGAAAAGGAGGGACCCTTAATGGGGACCCCTACCCTATAATGGGCTATGTAATGGGTATATAATGGCGAAATTAAGGGTATATACCTATAGGGGTCCTTATTAAGGGTCCCTCCTTTTTTTCTTTGATCTTTGATGTGCTTGAGCTGTAGCAACTTACATGCACCGCCTAACATCTCCTCCATGAATAAACAAAAGCTGCAAACGCTCGGTGTGGATAGGGTCGAGGTGGAGATGTGTCGAAAGTTTTGGCTTTGATGTGGAGGTCGATGCCAGCACAATTCAATGCCCGAAGGGCAGCCTCAATCCTAAATCCGAGAGCCCTTGGCCCGAAACTACAAATGTCCCCGAAAACCGAAACTCAATCTCAAACCCTACAAACCCTGGAAGCTCACTGGAGGCCAACAGAAGGTGTTCGGGGAAAGCTGTGCTTGGGATAGCCAAATATGACCCAATAGTATTGAAGGCACCCTTGAGTGGTCAACACTGCCCACCCTCAACCCAGATCGCCAAACCCAAATCTCAATCCTACGGCGTACCTGGACTTATGCAGTTTAGGGCTTGGTTCCCAACACGGCTCCCCTAAACCCTAAACCCCATAACGTCCTCAACTCCTAAATCCTCAACCCTAAACTCCAAGACTCCCAAACGCAGTCTCGCGCGGGACTTGCGCCCGGCGCCCAGCGGCTTCGCGCGCGCCTTGGAGGCCCCGAGAAGTGGTGGCGCAGGGGCCGAGAGAGCCCCGTATTGTCGGAGTTTAGGGCTTGTAAGGTGTTTAGGGTATAGGGATTTAGGTTTAGAGTTTAGGGTTTGGGGTTTGTAAGGTGTTTATAGGATTTAGGTTTGGAGTTTAGGGTTTGGGGTTTGTAAGGTGTTTAGGGATTTAGGGTTTTAAGGCAAAAGGGTTTAGGGTTTGTAAGAAGTTCAGGGTATAGGGTTTTAGTTTTTTTTGTTTGTCAAGCCTTTGGCTCTCATGAATCACTTGGGAGAAATCTGACTTTCCCGGCCGTTTTCCCAAGCCCGGATGCAAAAAAAGGGTCTTGGGGGAGCCCCATCCTGCTAGTGTGGAAACCTGATTAAACTGGTTTTGGAGTACCATACTTGAATACATTTTTTGGTACCTGTTCCTCAAAGGAACCATTATGAAATAAAAGTCTATACTTTTTCTCCCTGGTTACTTCAAAGTCCAGTTAAGAAGCTAAGGGTGTTTATCAGAGTCCTTTATGAATATGAATTCTAATCTTCTGGGCTATATGGCCAGGGTTTCTTAATCAGGTCCCTACAGTAGGGCTTGGGATTTCTAGGGTTTAGTGTAATGAGGGTTCTGAGTACCAAAACGCGGCAAAACAAGGGTTTAGGCTTGACTCCAGTTTTGGTGTTGGGGCTTGGAGTTTAGCTAGGGTTTAGAGTTTTAGAGTTTGGTGTTGAGCGCTTACGGAAGACGCTTTCATAATGATAAGCCCTGCAGAGTTAAAGGTATGTTCGTGGATGAAGGGGTATTTGGCTCTCGGGTTTGCTTGGAGGACGGAGGATGTATTATAGGGGCCTAAGGAACTACCAATACTTTTTTGGGGGTTCCTTTTTGCTATTACAGTATATTGGGCCCAAAAAGGCCCCAAAGCCTTATTCTACTTTTTTAAAGGCCTCTGTAGTATAGGATGCCCACTTCAGAACTTAAAAGTTTCGTTGCTGGCCCGAGTAATTAAGCGGCAGGGTGCTCGGGAATGACCCAGCTGAACACTCTCTTGTTCCAGCCTCAAGTTAGGACCATAACAAAGAGAACCGGTAGCGCACAACATGAACGATCTTGCGGAGTGCATCTCGCTAGGGTCTTGAGGGCTTCTGTCGCCCTGTAAGTCCTAGACTCCCCTAAACTCCTAAACCCTAACACCCAAAAACCTCCAAGAGCTCCGTCCCCCGAACATCCCCAAGCCGGCAACCTAGGACCTCACACGCTTACTGTAGAAGCTTGGGAAATTAGAACAAATATCATTGTTCAGAGCTCCTCGCTACGATCCTACTATGATATACCCATATTTTTTGCCGATATTCTGTAGGGTTCCCTATTACGAACCTACGATAAGATACCCAGCAGGCTGTATACCAGGCCTAGTAGTAGAGTAGGCAACCTTTAACGTTTTTTGGGTAGCATAGTCCCCGTATAATCCCAGAAAGTTCAACCTTTAGTTCCCCATGATACCCGACAAGTAGGTATAGAGAGCCCTTGAACAGCCCACGAGCTACTTAGCTAAAGGTTTTGTCCGTTCAAGTTGGTGGCCGTTGCCTCCAAGCTGAACCCACAGGTTGCGGTTCCAAGCATTGCCGAGCAGATGACCCTTGAGCAGCTCGAAGTTGTGCTGCAATCCATAGCCCTCATTCCCAATCTCCGATGCTTGGTCTTTTGGAGCTTATGTCGAGGCTTTGTTTATCAGACATTTTGGGGTTGGATTGACTTGACTGATTGTGACTCAAGGGGATTTGTTTTAAGGGGGCTTTGTTCAGTTTTTCTTACCAGGGCATAAAGTTCAAGGTATTACACTTCTTTGGAAGCTCTTTTTCCCACGGTTTTTTTGTAGGATGTTGCAGGTTCTAAAGCCGTGACACACACACACACACACACACGCACAACCCTCTTGAAACCGAATACCTGTCGTGCTGTTATATTCCTCGACCTCTTCGACCCTACCTCGAAGTCCCGGGCCGTAAGACGATCCAGCCGCTGGTGCTGTAAGTTCTTTTCTGAGCGCGACCTACACCCTAGTGTAACACAAATACAGTAGAGTAGAGTAGACCATGATACTGTAAAACAGCCAATGCCCTTTCAACCCAAAGCTTTGCATAGGTACCTCAGAATCGTTTCGTGAGGTTGTGAGGGGGTCAGGGTTAAAGGGCATATTGCTATCGCATCGACGCAATCGTAACGCGCGACCCTTCAACAGCTGTTTTCCGGGCTCCCCCTGTTGTCCTCTCCAGTTGCCTCCTTGTAAAGGAGCTGAGTCGGAATGGCCATAAAAGGCTTGCATACTATGCATTGCAGAACCGTATTTGGTAATCTAAGCAAGCTCCTTAGCATGAACCCTCATCATGAACTCATAAGGGTAGTTGTCAAAATTAGGGTCCCTTTTTGGGTACCCTAAATCTTAGGTGCCGTATATAATAAGGACCCAAAAAAGGACCATCATGTTTACAACCACCCATAAACCTATTCAGAAGACCCCCTGAACAGCTTACAGAGACCTGAAACACCAGGGAAAAAGCCGCTTCTGAAGACCCATCCAACATCTCATGGAGATCTTATACATCCCTGAGGACGCGTTTTGAAACCCGTATGCCCCCTTTATCGAAAGCTGCGAAGCAGCCAAATAAGTTTAAACCCGACAAGGAGCCGCAAAGCAACCTGGAATCTCCAAGTGTAGAGTAGAAGCCCAAAAGTTGGGATCTCCAAAACCGCAAACCCTGTGTTAGGTTTAGGGTTTGGGGTTTAGGGTTCAAGGTTCAGGGTTTCGGGTTCAGGGGTTCAGGGTTCAGGGGTTTACACTAGAAGCCCAAAAGTTGGAAACCCAATAGCCTCAATCCTTAAGAGTCATGTATAGGGAGTCCCAGCACTATTTGGCCTTAATCCGTTTTCCAACTTTATGGGGTTTACTATAGGATCTCACGAAGGTGAATCCGAGATCTAGGAACCAGGGATGGTTGCTTGATCTCAGATTCACGTTTGCTTGGTTACATCATGGTTACCTGATGTATGCTTGAAAACTTGGTATGGAGTCTATCATCTATACAAAAAGCCCCAAACAGCCCTAAACCCCCTGAACCCTAAACTAAACCCTAAACCCTAAACCCTAAACCCCTAAACCCCTAAACCCTAAACACAGACGCAGGATCTCCCAGTTCAGGGCGGCTCTTCGATGCAGCTTTGGGATCACTGGCGGCCTTGAGCACAGCTGCTCTGGCACCTGGGCTTCGGATGTTTTTGTCTTGAATTTGGGTCTTCTTGGGTGTTGCGGGTTGAGGGTTTAGGGCTTCTTGGGGGCTTGGGGTTAAGGGTCTATGGTTTCTCGCTTCTGGGAGGTTTGGGGTTGAGGAGGTGAGGTTCAGGGTTTTGGGCTTGGATTGAGGGAGTTATTCTCCTCTTGAGGGAGAGCGGAACCCGATTCCATAAACGTTTCGTGATAGTTCTATGGTTTGTCAGGGATAGGGCGGGGGTCCTAGGGTTTAAGGGCTCTTGGGTTTTGGGTCTTTAGCGTTCTGCGCTTTCGGTTTCGGGGTTTTGTCTGGTTCGGCTCTAAGATTTGGGTTTGAGGGTGGAGGGTCGTGAGGTTTGAGTCTTTTACTCGAGGGTTGCAGGCACTGCGGATGCGGGGACGTTGGCCTTGGGTGGGGCTTGAGTGTCGGAGACGAATAGAGATGTTGTAATCTCGCTGGGATTCTTGTCAGACCTTAAACCCTGACCCTGAAACCTAACAATATGGAAAGGGGCCCATTAAATAAAAAACCTAGCAATATAAATGCCCAGTGTACAGCCAGTAGTATGTATGTGCCGAGTGTAGGGCTGGATCGTCCTTGGTGGGTTGCTCGTGATAGTGCTAAGGTCACTGCTCAGTACGTTTCTTCTTCCTGGAGACAAACCCGAAACCCTAAACCCTAAACCCGAAGCCCTAAACCCCAGCCTGGAGAGGTTTATGGTGTACGTAGGGTTGGTCCGTGTTTACGTAAACGCATGGTCGGGCTCGTGCTGCCCGGAATGTGAGATGGAGTGCTGCAAGTAGTGCCCGTAGTCTTGAATGCCCTTATTGAGATCCTATGCCCAAAGCTTCAGGCAGACTGCCCTCAGCTGCTAAGCTAGAGCTACGATCAGTTCGGCTGTTCTGACCAGAGACCCAGAGACCTGACCGGATCCTATGACACGCCAACAGCAAGCGGCGATAAGAGCGCTGACCCTACCCGCACCAAAACCCTATACTATATAGTAGCCCTGACATTGTCCTCAGTGGCAATCTCCTGAAATCAGGGTGAACTCACATACCATGTCACATATCTCCCTGCTTCGCGTACCAGGCCATGCAGGAGGCAAAAAAATACTAGCCCTGAAGCCTATGCCCTGCATGCAACGGACTTGGCATACGGACGCAAAGTTTGCACAGCTGCTCTTGTAAGACACGCAAATCATAATCTGGCCCAGAGCAGAATCGAGACCCAATTCAGCCGCTAAAATTGCCAAATCCTAAACCCCTAAACCCCAACCCTTTGTCCGAGTGTGAGCGCCGAAACCCCAACCCTTTGATGTGCATGCTGGGACTGGTAGTACTCGCCAAGCTCTTAACCCGCAGGTGTAGCTTCCTGCCTTGCCCTTTTTCATGGTCCACCCAAAAAAATGAACAGACTGGCTAGTAGACCTTCTTAAATAATTCCTATTAAGGGATATAGGTATAGGGCTCTGTCTGTTATTTCTAAAAGGACAAGGGTGTCCTGCATCCCGACGGGCTGCATCTGAGAGACCGGGACCTTCAGCCTCTCGACTCGAGACCCACCCTGAGTCCAAAACCTTTCGCTGTTAGCCTTAACCCCCCAGAGACTCCAATATCTCTTAATTAAGGAATATTCCTTAAATTATAGTAGGATCCCTAATATGATTTAAGGAATATAGCCTTACAGTAGAAGCCAGAAAGTTGAAATATCATTATCGTAACCCCTTTAAGGTAATTTATAGGGGATCCTACCATCATTCCATATTCCAACTTTCTGGAGTTCCCTTTAACCCAGCCCTTCATCAAAAGACAGGGACAAGTATACCCTATATACTATACTGCCCTCTACCCTAACTCCCGAGCCAGAACAGAAGAATACCCTAACCCCTAAGACCATAAGGAAGTAGACCAGACACTTTGCAGCCTTGGCGAAGCCATGGTTCGAATCCGCATCGATACGGCAGAGGCTCTTGCAAGACATCAGTCTGTTCCCCCAGCCGCTCGCCTTGTCAGGTTTGGAGTTAGTGGCCTGCTAGCCTTGTCATGTTATTGCATTAGGATTTTTACTTCAGGTTTTTTCGGGTTCAGGGTTGGTTGATGTGTGCTGTGATCTGGAGCTAGTGCTTAGGCTATGATGCGATGTTGCATCAGTCACGTCAAGTGCTCTAACTGTCCATGCGGGCGAGCGTTTCTCTGGCTGTTCATGTCTTCATCACAGCTGTAGTACTTATATATATAGAACCCGCCCTTATAAAGATTTGGGGAGCCTGCGGAATGTCCGGACGTGGGAACGAGGACCGCTGGTGCATCACCCACGCGGACTTGAACTACCTGCGGCAGGAGCCATGCTTTGGACAGCTGATGTGTGCACTCTAGGCCCAGTCTTTCGCTTCGAACATCATCTTCACACTGCAAAGAAACAGAAGTGCCCCTAAACCCTAAGACTGCAACAATGCGGGCTTGTACCAGGCAGGAGGGAAAACATGACTGCAAGAACTCCTCAAGCAGAAATCCATACGGCTCAGATACTGAAACTAGGGTGCAGGGCTATGGGATATTATGCATCGGCTGTTTCCAAATTTAAATCCCTATTGAGGAATGACAGGGCCTCCTATAAACGTGCCCGAAGAATGAAACCACCCAAGGCCCTGAGGAGTTTGGGTTTCAGGGCAAAATTAACAACCCCAGGACCTTATAATACTAAGAGAAAGAAGGTTCCTGGCTTTGTTTGCTTGCCTCTTTCCTTTCGGGTCAGCCCACATAAGTCGAACTGCGACACAGGAGTCCAAGGTGAAGGCAGGTCCTCCCCCAAGAACGATGATGAAGTAGTCTAAGGGTGTGCGGTTTACAATCACACTCTTAGTCATAGTGGCCGCAACCACAACAGCAACCGGTTCATGTACACGTCTATTTGTTTGCGCATATAAATATATGATGAGGCTGTGTATATGTGAACGCGCAACCGCTGCGCCCCAAAACTCTATTCGAGTTGTTAAGGCCCCTAGATTAGGTCAGCTTTCCGCCGAAGAGCTACATCTCTAACACAAATGCATTGCTGTTGGACTCTAGGGCTTTCGGGTTTAGGATACAAGACTGTGCAGAGGCCCGGATGCAAGAAAGGGTTTAGGATGCCAGGGACAAGCAGGTGATGGTTGTGCCGTTACATGCCTACATTCGGCACACAGGGGCTTTATGTAGCAGTCGCTCTTGCGGACACTCACTATACTATGGGCTTTGGAGGAGCAGGGTTCAACTAAAGAAGCCGGATATGTAGCTGGATCAAGACGCCGCAACATCAGCATCATCAACATACCATCACTAAACTCGTCGTCTTGGTTCGAAGCGACGTCCGGGAAGGAGGTGTGGCATGCCATCCAATGTGGAAGCATCAAGCCGCCAGAGGATGGCACAGACGACTTCCTGGACTGTCATGAGCAGTGCGGGCAGATTGGGCCTAGCATCTACACAGTCAATGCGCAGCACATCATGCCAGTGACGGAGCAGGCTGGAAAGATGAGCTGGGCTTTGATGCGACACCCGGATGGCTTGGATTGCCATCTCTTCATCAGTCACGCGTGGCAGGAAGGTGTGTTCGAATTTCTGTCTAAGGTGCTGCATTCCTGGCCAAGGCAAGCTCACCACGCCTGGTGCTGCATGTTGGCCAACCCACAAAACTTGGACATCGCTGCATTGCTCCAGTCTCCTCGGAGTTCGCCGTTTGCACAGGCTATTCGAGCCTGCACCTTCGTTCTCGCGGTGCCCAACCGCCGCAGCAGCATTTACACGAGGCTCAGAACTGCCGGGATTTTCGGTGCTTGATGTCAACAGCTGAAAAATTAGGAGGGGGACCGTGGTATGGAAAAGCTAGTACAATTTAGTAGCGTAGTCGTTCTATGATTGTCAACTCGACTACCAGAAGTTGTTGTAGTTAGCAGCAGCAGCGGCAGCAGCAGCAGCAGGAGTAGTAGTAGTAGTAGTAGCAGTAGTAGTAGGAGTAGTAGTAGTAGTAGTAGTAGTAGTAGTAGTAGTAGTAGTAGTAGTAGTGGCAGTAGTGGCAGTAGTGGCAGTAGTGGCAGTAGTAGAAGTAGTAGTAGTAGTAGTAGTAGTAGTAGTAGTAGTAGTAGTAGGAGTAGTAGTAGTAGTAGTAGTAGTAGTAGTAGTAGTAGTAGTGGTAGTGGCAGTGGTAGTGGCAGTGGGAGTGGTCGTGGTCGTGGTCGTGGGAGTCGTCGTAGTGGTAGTGGTAGTGGTAGTGGTAGTGGTAGTGGTAGTGGTAGTAGTAGTAGTAGTAGTAGTAGTAGTAGTAGTAGTAGTAGTAGTAGTAGTAGTAGTAGGAGTAGTAGTAGTAGTAGTAGTAGTAGTAGTAGTAGTAGTAGTAGTAGTGGTAGTGGCAGTGGTAGTGGCAGTGGGAGTGGGAGTGGTCGTGGTCGTGGTCGTGGTAGTCGTCGTAGTGGTAGTGGTAGTGGTAGTGGTAGTGGTAGTGGTAGTGGTAGTGGTAGTGGTAGTAGTAGTAGTAGTAGTAGTAGTAGTAGAAGCTGGGAAAGGGGGCTGTTGCTGTAACCGGGCTGCTGGACAACGAGGCCTGCTGCAACAAGTAGTAGTAGTAGGAGGGGGAGCAGGACCAGGAATATGAGCGGCAGTAGCAATAGCACCGGCAGCAGCAGCGCTGCTGCTCCTGCAGCCGCTCGGCTGTACTTGCAAACACCGCTTGCAGTATCTCTAAAGGAGAGCACTTGCATGACATGACTCTTGCAGGCTCTGGTGCGCCTATGAAGCCTACGAAGCACACGAGCTCGGCAAGTTTATCCTCGTTGCCTCTGCGTCCGACGATGGCCGAATGTATTCTGCTGTTGCCTGCACAACGCTGGCAGGACAGGCACTAGTAGTAGTTGCCATGCCTTCCACGAAAAGAGTTTTTCGAACAGCACCAGGGACAACACAACTTTCGCAACTTCTCGGCTTGGACAAACATGGTGTGCGTTGCTCC